ACAAAAAAGCGGAAACACAAACACACATACACACACACACACACACACACACACACACACACACACACAAGCGCCCAAAACAATACCTTCCATTTCATGGAGGTAAAAACAACAGGGTAATACTGTCTTGGTCTAACAACCATACAGGAGACAAAATAATGTGCTACTAATGTAGAACAGTGTACTAAATAAACACGGGAATTATTATCACCCGCTATGCAGAAACAGTCTTTGTCTGTGAGGGAGAAAACAAGAAGCTGTCTTGTCCGGCTGGAGAAACGCTTGTTATCGATGACACCACCTACTACGGCAGCACAAACGATACCAAAGACTGCCGAGCAGAAAAGAGTCTACTCATTGTGTGGAAGACCTGTCAGGGTTTGCAGCACTGCGTTATGGCGGCAGGAAATGTCTTCTTTGGTGACTGTGACCCCTGTAACGGCCTCGCCGAGTTCTTAAAAGTATCATACCGCTGTTACTCAGGTAAGCATCTCCAACAGGCGAGTCTTTGGCCATGTTTAGACGGCTCGCTGTAACCGCGTTCGATCCAGATTCCACCGAAGCACGATTCATACGTGGCCCCATATAAACGCTCCAAATCGCATTAAAAGTGCCTCGATCCCAAACCACCTCAAGAGATATCAAATCAAATCAAAATCAAATTTTATTCAGTAAGGATCTCGCGGGCGAATACCCGAATTTCGTCCTTATTACAATAGTATATAGAACATTAAAAACACTCTTCATCGTGCACATGAAACAACATAGGTGAACACATATTAAGACGATTGTATATTAAGCGAACATAGGCGACCTCAATCTTAAGACGATAACACAATTAAAATCTATGCAGGTTAAATACGCAGTTATCACGAAGAATTTAGCTAGGTACAATATATATAACACTACTGCTGGATTGTCTTGTTATAGAGGCGAACAGCGCAATGAAGGAACGAGTTGGTAAGTCTCTTAGTCCGGGCTTTAGGTAGACTGATTGTGCCAGATAGGTTCGTACCGGCTTTAATGCATTCCTACTTCAGTCTGAGCGTAATTTGACTACACCGGATTACTTTACACATCGACCTGGATATGGATAACACAGTGATATTTCTTTATCCATATGCAATACCAAAATTGACGTGGCAGCAACGTTAAGAGTAGTAATGACCTAATAAATGTACCAATTGTAGGATGAGCTTCACCGCCTCTTGCGGGACCTGGAAGGCATTCAGCCAAGATACGCTGGAAAGGGGGCACCAGCAAGCAGGTCGTTGACCTCTGACATTGATTCAACGCTACATTGTGTCTTTTTATCAAACAACAATGAATATAGTTTATGCGAGTCGTGCTCCGGTAGGAATGTGTGGCACGTGGACCAGATGTGAGGAATGCGATTTACCCCAATTGCGGTTTCAGCGATTTCGTCTGAACAGGGCTTGATAATATACATGTAGTATGTAACAAGTTTTTAAAAAATAGCGGATTTTTACCATCTACATGCTTGCGTAGTGACCATCTTTGTTTTTACATTGCTACATTATAATTAAGGTGGTTTAAGAAGCAATTCGTTAAATGTGAGTAATGCAGATAGAGACCCCATTTGAATACCCGATGAGGACATGATAGAATAGCTTTCGTTGTTAAGAAAAAATGCTATTTTTTACCTGTGTTATTCTAGTGTAGAATATAATCAACATACACATTTAAGAAAATAAGAACATTGCTTGCATAATTATTCTTTGAATTTTTTAAACATGATGTAACAAACGTTAAAGTGGCAAAGGTATGGCATTGTAGTTCTGAATTATGGTAGCTGGCTCCTGGCCCTGTGAAGAAACTATGCTTGGCTGGATTCTTTGTGGTTGTAAACTTTGGAATAGGAATATTAGTCAAGACGGCGTCAGTGCACTTCACAAGAAAATACCATAAGATATCTCTTAAGCAATTGCGTTTTTTATTATCCATTATCCAAAAACAGTATAAGCCGCTTATTTGAAAAGCCAATTTGTCAGCGTATTGTTCAATTACACGGTCTTTCCGATGAAGAGGCTGACAACCCAAGGAGTGAAACGTCGACGGTGGGAGTGGGGGGTGGACAAAGGCAAAAAGGCAAATTGTGACAC